ATGATGAAGTAAAGGGTGTGATAAAAGAGAAAAAGTTAGCTTATGAGAGGTTTTTACAAAGCAGAAGTGTTATAAGAAGAGCAGAGTATATGGAGAGTAAAAGAAAGGTGAAGAGAGTGGTGAGAGAGTGCAAAAGGAGAGCAGATGATAGAGTGGGCGAGGCACTGTCAAGAAATTTTAATGAAAATAAGAAAAAATTTTGGAGTTAAACAAGTTAAGAAAGCCTAGGGAAATTATGGATTTGTCAGTTAAAAACAGAGTAGGGGAGTTAGTAGATGGGGAGAGGGAGGTACAGTGGGCCCCCGGTTAACGATCACCTCCCAATGCGACCAATTATGTAAGTGTATTTATGTAAGTGCGTTTGTACGTGTATGATTGGGGGTCTGAAATGGACTAATCTACTTCACAATATTCCTTATGAGAACAAATTCGGTAAGTACTGGCACCTGAACATACTTCTGGAATGAAAAAATAACGTTAACCAGGGGTCCACTGTATTAGGTAGATGGCGAGAATATTTTGAGGAACTTTTAAATGTTGAGGAAGAAAGGGAGACGGTAATTTCATGCACTGGTCAGGGAGGTATACCATCTTTTAGGAGTGAAGAATAGCAGAATGTAAGTGTGGGGGAGGTACGCGAGGCATTACGTAGAATGAAAGGGGGTAAAGCAGCTGGAACTGATGGGATCATGACAGAAATGTTAAAAGCAGGGGGGGATATAGTGTTGGAGTGGTTGGTACTTTTGTTTAATAAATGTATGAAAGAGGGGAAGGTACCTAGGGATTGGCAGAGAGCATGTATAGTCCCTTTATATAAAGGGAAGGAGGACAAAAGAGATTGTAAATATTATAGAGGAATAAGTTTATTGAGTATACCAGGAAAAGTGTACAGTAGGGATATAATTGAAAGAATTAGAGGCAAGACAGAATGTAGGATTGCGGATGAGCAAGGAGGTTTCAGAGTGGGTAGGGGATGTGTAGATCAAGTGTTTACATTGAAGCATATATGCGAACAATATTTAGATAAAGGTAGGGAAGTTTTTATTGCACTTATGGATTTAGAAAAGGCATATGATAGAGTGGATAGGGGAGCAATGTGGCAGATGTTGCAAGTATATGGAATAGGTGATAAGTTACTAAATGCTGTAAAGAGTTTTTATGAGGAAAGTGAGGCTCAGGTTAGGGTGTGTAGAAGAGAGGGAGACTATTTCCCGGTAAAAGTAGGTCTTAGACAGGGATGTGTAATGTCACCATGGTTGTTTAATATATTTATAGATGGGGTTGTAAAAGAAGTAAATGCTAGGGTGTTCGGGAGAGGGGTGGGATTAAATTATGGGGAATCAAATTGAAAATGGGAATTAACACAAGTTACTTTTTGCTGATGATACTGTGCTTATGGGAGATTCTAAAGAAAAATTGCAAAGGTTAGTGGATGAGTTTGGGAATGTGTGTAAAGGTAGAAAGTTGAAAGTGAACATAGAAAAGAGTAAGGTGATGAGGGTATCAAATGATTTAGATAAAGAAAAACTGGATATCAAACTGGGGAGGAGGAGTATGGAAGAAGTGAATGTTTTCAGATACTTGGGAGTTGACGTGTCGGCGGATGGATTTATGAAGGATGAGGTTAATCATAGAATTGATGAGGGAAAAAAGGTGAGTGGTGCGTTGAGGTATATGTGGAGTCAAAAAACTTTATCTATGGAGGCAAAGAAGGGAATGTATGAAAGTATAGTAGTACCAACACTCTTATATGGGTGTGAAGCTTGGGTGGTAAATGCAGCAGCGAGGAGACGTTGGAGGCAGTGGAGATGTCCTGTTTAAGGGCAATGTGTGGTGTAAATATTATGCAGAAAATTCGGAGTGTGGAAATTAGGAGAAGGTGTGGAGTTAATAAAAGTATTAGTCAGAGGGCAGAAGAGGGGTTGTTGAGGTGGTTTGGTCATTTAGAGAGAATGGATCAAAGTAGAATGACATGGAAAGCATATAAATCTATAGGGGAAGGAAGGCGGGGTAGGGGTCGTCCTCGAAAGGGTTGGAGAGAGGGGATAAAGGAGGTTTTGTGGGTAAGGGGCTTGGACTTCCAGCAAGCGTGCGTGAGCGTGTTAGATAGGAGTGAATGGAGACGAATGGTACTTGGGACCTGACGATCTGTTGGAGTGTGAGCAGGGTAATATTTAGTGAAGGGATTCAGGGAAACCGGTTATTTTCATATAGTCGGACTTGAGTCCTGGAAATGGGAAGTACAATGCCTGCACTTTAAAGGAGGGGTTTGGGATATTGGCAGTTTGGAGGGATATGTTGTGTATCTTTATATGTGTATGCTTCTAGACTGTTGTATTCTGAGCACCTCTGCAAAAACAGTGATAATGTGCGAGTGTGGTGAAAGTGTTGAATGATGATGAAAGTATTTTCTTTTTGGGGATTTTCTTTCTTTTTTGGGTCACCCTGCCTCGGTGGGAGACGGCCGACTTGTTGAAAAAAAAAAAAAAAAAAAATAATAATAATAATAATATAATTCTAGGTAGTAGGTTGGTAGACAGCAACCACCCAGGGAGGTACTACCATCCTGCCAAGTGAGTGTAAAACGAAAGCCTGTAATTGTTTTACATGATGGTAGGATTGCTGGTGTCCTTTTTTCTGTCTCATGAACATGCAAGATTTCAGGTATGTCTTGCTACTTCTACTTACACTTAGGTCACACTACACATACATGTACAAGCACATATATACACACCCCTCTGGGTTTTCTTCTTCTATATTTTCTTTCTAGTTCTTATTCTTGTTTATTTCCTCTTATCTCCATGGGGAAGTGGAACAGAATTCTTCCTCCGTAAGCCATGCGTGTTGTAAGAGGCGACTAAAATGCCGGGAGCAAGGGGCTAGTAACCTCTTCTCCTGTATATATTACTAAATGTAAAAGGAGAAACTTTCGTTTTTCCTTTTGGGCCACCCCGCCTCGGTGGGATACGGCCGGTGTGTTGAAAAGAAAGAAAGTATTTAGACGAGGCTAAAGAGGTTTTTGTGGCATTTATAGATTTGGAAAACGTGTATGACAGGGTGGATAGGGGGGCAATGTGGCAGATGTTGCAGGTGTATGGTATAGGAGGTAGGTTACTGAAAGCAGTGAAGAGTTTTTACGAGGACAGTGAGGCTCAAGTTAGAGTATGTAGGAAAGAGGGAGATTATTTCCCAGTAAAAGTAGGCCTTAGACAAGGATGTGTGATGTCACCGTGTTTGTTTAATATACTTATAGATGGGGTTGTAAGAGAAGTAAATGCGAGAGTCTTGGCAAGAGGCATGGAGTTAAATGATAAAGAATCACACATAAAGTGGGAGTTGTCACAGTTGCTCTTTGCGAATGACACTGTGCTCTTGGGAGATTCTGAAGAGAAGTTGCAGAGGTTGGTGGATGAGTTTGGTAGGGTATGTAAAAGAAGAAAATTAAAAGTGAATACAGGAAAGAGTAAGGCTATGAGGATAACAAAAAGATTAGGTGATGAAAGATTGGATATCAGATTGGAGGGAGAGAGTATGGAGGAGGTGAATGTATTCAGATATTTGGGAGTGGACGTGTCAACGGATGGATCTATGAAAGATGAGGTGAATCATAGAATTGATGAGGGGAAAAGGGTGAGCAGTGCACTTAGGAGTCTGTGGAGACAAAGAACTTTGCCCTTGGAGGCAAAGAGGGGAATGTATGAGAGTATAGTTTTACCAACGCTCTTATATAGGTGTGATGAATGTTGCAGTGAGGAGTAGGCTGGAGGCAGTGGAGATGTCACGTCTGAGGGCAATGTGTGGTGTGAATATAATGCAGAGAATTCGTAGCTTGGAAGTTAGGAGGAGGTGCGGGACTGCCAAAACTGTTGTCCAGTGGGCTGAGGAAGGGTTGTTGAGGTGGTTCGGACATGTAGAGAGAATGGAGCGAAACAGAATGACTTCAAGAGCGTATCAGTCTGTAGCGGAAGGAAGGTGGGGTAGGGGTCAGCCTATGAAAGGTTGGAGGGAGGGGGTAAAGGAGGTTTTGTCTGTGAGGGCCTTGGACTTCCAGCAGGCATGCGTGAGCGTGCTTTATAGGAGTGAATGGAGACAAATGGTTTTTAATACTTGACGTGCTGTTGGAGTGTGAGCAAAGTAACATTTATGTAGGGATTCAGAGAAACCGGCAGACCGGACTTGAGTCCTGGAGATGGGAAATACAGTGCCTGCACTCTGAAGGGGGGGTGTTAATGTTGCAGTTTAAAAACTGTAGTGTAAAACACCCTTCTGGCAAGACAGTGATGGAGTGAATGATGGTGAAAGCTTTTCTTTTTCAGGCCACCCTGCCTTAGTGGTAATCTGCCAGAAGGGTGTTTTACACTACAGTTTTTAAACTGCAACATAAACACCCCTCCTTCAGAGTACAGGCACTGTACTTCCCATCTCCAGGACTCAAGTCCGGCCTGCCGGTTTCCCTGAATCCCTTCATAAATGTTACTTTGCTCACACTCCAACAGCACGTCAAGTATTAAAAACCATTTGTCTCCATTCACTCCTATCAAACACGCTCACGCATGTCCGCTGGAAGTCCAAGCCCCTTGCACACAAAACCTCCTTTACCCCCTCCCTCCAACCTTTCCTAGGCCGACCCCTACCCCGCCTTCCTTCCGCTACAGATTGATACACTCTTGAAGTCATTCTGTTTCGCTCCATTTCTCTCCATTCTTTTAATGTAAACATAAATTACTCTTATAACGTGGTTAAAAATTCCTCTCTTGTCTCATAGCAGATGCTTCAGTCTTGAGCACACCTGCTCAAACACCTGTAACCAATGACTTAGACACCTGTCAAATGCCTGCAGATGTGTACTACACCTGCAGAGGTGTATAACACCTGTAGAGAAGAACTTGTGCTCTGAACAAGAAACTCTCTTCTAGGTCTAGAGGGACTGATTACCTTTTCTTCCACCATCACTAGTGACATCATGACTAATCCACACCTACAAATCAAGACATACAAACCTCACTATGTTTCCTCTTCCTCCTGCGTTTCCTGTTCTCCTCATACAAGACAGATGTGTCCTTGCCGTCCCTCAGTTGTAAGTAAGACTCTGAAATGAACCAAGAATTTGTGTTAAATTTTCCCAAACACAATAATAATAATAATAATAATAATAATAATAATAATAATTTTTATTTCTGTGTGTACAAGGTATACGAACCATAGCTGACATCAATGACATACTACTATATAGAAAGCACCTTGTTATGCAGAGCATTTCCCACAACTTAGATTAATTTTGTCCCCAGGATGTGACCCACACCAGTCCATTAACACCCAGGTACAGTAGGGCCCACTTATACGGGAGGTTAGGTTCCAGACTACCGCTGCAAAGCAGACATGGCCGGAAAGCACAACGCCATTTTTTTCCCCACTTATAAATGCATACAAATGCCAGATAACAAGTCTACACTAACATATATTAAGTTAGCAATGGAACTAGGCATTAAAAAATAATAAAAAGTAAAATACACACACAGTACACTCATTATTTACCTCAAAATATTTGTAGTCTTAATGTAGGGCAAAAGGTAAGCAGTATTTATTGTAAGAAGTCAGGTGTGGGAGCCCTCCTGGCCACCCCCACCCACACATAATATACTACGATGTTTAAAGTGTCCTAGAGTGATAAAATGCATATACAGTACACCAATTACCTTAAAATATTTGTAGTCTTAATGGTCTTAATGTAGGGCGAGAGGTGAAACTATTTATTTGTGGAAAGTCGTGTGGGAGGTATGGTAACCTGCCTGGCCACCCCACTCACTACGACATTTAAAGTGTCCCAGAGCGATAAAATGCATAAACAGTACACTCATTACTTACCTTAAAATATTTGTAGTCTTAATGTAGGGTGAGAGGCGAGTAAGAGAGATAAAAATGAACAAACGAGAGAGAGAAAGAGTAAGATGACAGAGCTGCAGACTGCTATGTAAACAAACTGTCTGGTTATGGTTGATACACGGTTCATACAAACACTTCACATTGTGTACACATTGTCTCCCCAGTGGTACAGTAGAATAAATAAGTAAGACCAACACTTCCATTCTCATGTAACATCATTTTTAGAAGGAATGATGCTCTGACAAGTTATTATAATTATTATTATTATTACAAGTTATTATTATAATCATAATAAAAAGAAGCGTTAAACCCACAAGAACTGTGAATAGCTATAGATAGAGTGTAGGCATTTGAAAGGAATATTTTTCTACAGTTAAGTAACTGGTGTTTGACTAGAGAAAACGTAATTCTTCCGACACTTACAAACCGCTTCGTAAGCAAATCTCATATTTTTATACTGTGGGTGTATATATCATGTTCATATGTTACGTGGCATGTTTATTATATAATTTTGAAAAAATACCATAGATGGATTAAAGGAAATGTCTATATTAATGTAATATATGACATTTAATGCACCCAAGAGATTATATAGCATCAAGAGTAGAAAGACTCTAAGTGATTTTAATGTGTACCTGCACGCCAGCATAGTGAGTAAGTATATTTAGGTACTGGTACACATAAGTATAATTATCAGAGTATATATAAAATGGGCAATAACTTTAAAACACTTGAAATTTTGGAAAATTCCCAGACATAATAGAGAGAGGTGCTCATGGAGAATGTAAACAAACCAAGTGGGGCGCGTCGTATTAGAAAGACCACTCGCCGTATCCCAAGTTTTGGTCATAATTTGAAATCGCCATATTAGCAGAATGCCATAAGGTGAAATGCCATAAAGTGGGGCCCTACTGTACCTGCTTTGCTGCTAGGTGAAGAGTGACAGCAGGTGTAAGGTGGCTAATACCCAGGTACCTACTTATTGCTAGGTGAACAGGGACAGCAGCAGGTGTAAGATAACTAACACCCAGATACCTACTTACTGCTATGCCATCAAGGACAGCAGAATCGAACCATGGACCTTAGTGTGTGTGAGCTGAGTGTGCCACCAACCCAGTTATGGGACATTTACAATTTGTGGGCATTTAATACCCACAGAATCAGTTTCACTGATATCCAATAGTAGATGTATTTGTAATCCCAGAATTATTCACTCATCATACTTTAACCCATTCACTGTCAGTCTCATATTAGTACAGCTTATAAGCCAGTGTTGGTGCCGTATTAATATCCCAAGATTCTAGCGGCTTCAGATCTAGCAGGAGAAAGCTGGTAGACCTACATATGAGAGAATGGGTCTGCGTAGTCAGTGTGTGCAATATAAAAGAAATCCTGCAGCACGTAATGCATAATTAGAAAAAAACTCCCACCGTGTTTTTGGTTTAAAATGCAGACTTTGAGATGTATTTTTATATGGTATTTATGGTTGGTCTCATTTGACAGAATGGAAGGTATATTACTGAAATAGAGATGTTTTTGAGTGGTTTCATAATGAAAAATACCTTGAAATTGAGCTCAAAGTAGTGCAAATGTTTGATTTTTGCCAATGTTCAAGAGTAAACAAAGGACATCACCGTCCAATACGTGTCCAACTGGCCAGTCTGCTACGCAGTCACAAATGGGTTGACATTATTTATACAATTATTACAATAATGCAATAATCTGCAAAACAGTAAATCTTCTATTTTTTGTGTGAATAAAAATTCAAAATGGAAAGCAAGAATAATATAAGAGAGGCCTGAAGATGTGACTAATGAACAGAGAAAATGTTATTTTAGTGCCAGGAATGTCTACCTTGTTTATTCTTTACCCTATTTTGAAACTGGCATCTTTTGAAATTTATGTGAATTTGGCCAAATTGCCAATTTCTGACCACTTTATTGGGTAGTTGAAATTGGTAAATAGGCAGGTTTTTGTACTCAATCAATAGAACAAATGGAGTTCTAGCAAAACAGCTATGAGTTTGGTCGACTGGAACAATGGAATTGGCTGAAAATAGGGCTCTAAAGTGGTCAAAATTGCCGATGCATATACATCGCTGAGACCGCTAACTTTATGAGGGTGTAATTCCCCAAATTTTCCATCAAATTCCAAATTTTTGTTGTCATTACCATCGGGAAAAGATTCTCTATCATTTCGCAAGAAATTTTTTTTTTTTTTTAATTCTTTGACACTGAGAGCAAGTTTGTGAGCAGGGGTCTTGACAGTGAAAGGGTTAATAACTTTGTAATTTTTATTTTAACCATTTTTGTTACTGAATTACACTATATTATTATTCTTTTTTAAAAATAACCTTCTCATAGAGTAGACCCAAAATTTTTAACTGGACTAAAGTGGCATCAGGGGCCCCTCTGGATTAGTGGCCCATGGCCTGGTAGGCAACGCTCTCTCCTCACACACACTGTCTATGGTTCAATCCCCGGCAAGGGTAGAAACATCAGGCATGTTTCCTTACACCTGCTGTCCCATTCACCTAGCAGTAAGTAGGTACATGGGTGTTAGTCGACTGGTGTAAGTGGCATCCTGGGGAATAATACTGAAGGACCACAATGGAAATAAGACAGACAGCCCTGCTAGGTGAAAAGGGACAGCAGGTGTCTTAACCCTTGAGGGTCACGACCTGTCCTCAAAATTTGCTCTCAGGGTAGCAAAATTTAAATAAAAAAAATTATGCTTTTTCTTATGAAATGGTAGAGAATCTTTTCTGAAGGTAATAAAACAAAAAGTATGAAATTTGCTGGAAAACTGATGAAATTATGCTACTGTGAATTTAGGTGTAAGTGATATTTACGCGTCGGCGATTTTGCCCACTTTGCGTTCCATTTTAAGCCAACTATGTTGTTCCGGTAGACCAAATTCTTAACCATTTCACTAGTATATCTCCCATTCTAATGACTACCTGGAGTCTACCTGGAGGGCATTCCGGGGATCAATGCCCCTGCAGCCTGGTCCACGACCAGGCCTCCCGGTGGATCAGGGCCTGATCAACGAGGCTGTTACTGCTGGCCGCACACAATCCAACGTATGAACCACAGCCTGGCTGATCCGGCACCGTCTTTAGGTATCTGTACAGCTCCCTCTTGAAGACAACCAGGGGTCTTCCCGTAATGCCCCTTATTGCTGGTGGGAGGCTGCTGAACAGTCTTGGGCCCCGGACACTTATTGTGTTTTCTCTTAGCGTACCAGTGATGCCCCTACTTTTCACTGGGGGTATGTTGCATCGCCTGCCAAGTCTTTTACTTTCGTATGGAGTGATTGCTGTGTGCATAGTAGGGACCAGTCCCTCCAGAAACTGCACAAGAAACTGCCCATTCAACTTATTTCAACTACCCAATAAACTGATCAGAAATTGGTAATTTGGCCAATTTCACACAAAATTCAAGAAATGTCAATTTCAAAATAGGGTCCAGAATAAACAATGTAGACATTCCTGGCACTAAAACATTTCCTTTGTCCATTATGTCTCCCGGCTTCTCCTATACTATTAAGCTTGCTTGCCATTTTGAATTTTTATTTACACAAAAAATAAAATATTTACTGTTATGCAGACTACTGCATTATAATAATTGTATAAATAATGTCAGTGCATTCCTAAATGCATATCAGACTGGCCAGCTGGACATATATTGGACAAGTCTACTCTGTCTACTCTGGAATATGGCAAAAATCAAACATTTCTGTTAGTTTGAGCTCAATTTCAAAATACTTTCAGTCCTGAAACCAATTAAAATCATCTCAGTTTTTGTAAATATCTTCCATTCTATCAATTAGACTAAGAAAGTGAGAATAAAACCATAAAAACCATGAAAATACACTACAAAGTCGCTGTTTTAAACCAAAAATACGGTCGCAGTTTTTCCTCATAATGCACTGCGTGCTGCAGGATTTTTTTATGTGGTGCACACTTACCATATAGACCCATTCTCTCATATCTAGGCCCAAATTTACCACTGCTCACAACTTATCTGAGTGACCTAAGTTCATGGTGTTGTACTAAGCAACTGACTCTCAGAGGGTTAAGGAAACACGTCCTAATGTTTCCACCCCTACCAGGGATCGAACCATGAACCTAAGTGTGTGAACTAAGTGCACTACCAGCCCAGCTACATATATAGAGAAGCTTTATAAAAGATATGACTGTATAAAGAGGTGCTTTATAAGAGAACTGACTATATATAGAGGAACTTTATAAAAGAAGTGAGACTCACCGCTGGCCGGGGTAACGATACGAGGGCCGTGCTTTAGTGCCAACATGGCTGCCGCTGCATCCACGTCCTCACTCTGGACCCCGGGGGACCCCAGGGCCGTCCCCAGGGCTGACCCAGGGGTGGAACCCAAGCAGCGTGCCAGGTAAGGGAACAGCTCCGGGTCTGGGATGTTGGCCGAAGTGGGGGGTCTGGGGGGGGCCACTGTGGTACTTGTGTCTTCTGGGGTCGACGTCTGGCCCACCTGCCTATATGGACACAAATAATTAACACAAGCAATTAAGGCACAACTAATTAAAACACAGATAAAAATGGTGCTTTTCTCAAGTCAATATTAGTAAATCAATGTTTGTCTACCTAAAGTCTACCTCCAGGTGTCAGAGGAACCTCAGACAACCTTGGGTATTGAGACTATCCCTGTGATGGTTACCTGTTCAGGTAGTATTTCCTCCTCAGGGGATACTTGGTGAGAAAGTGACTACTTGACACAAGTCATGCCATCTCTTGTTGATGTCATAGGTTGCCGGAAGAAAGATGCCTCTGTAGCAGCTAGTGCTAGCACTAGAGTGCTGTTGTCCCCCGTGTTCCAGATGGTGACAATGTCCTAGTTGACAGTGATTCTTGTAAGGCCAAGAGTTAGTTTGTCAAGTGGTCCTTGCATATTGCAAGAGAAAATAAGATCCATTTCTTCCTTGCTAATACCTCTGGTCAGAGTGCCTCAGAGCGAGCACCACCATCACTGACCTTGTTCACTATCTGTATCCTGATTGGGTAGAGGACAAGTTATCACCTGACCAGTGGGATGGTACTATTTTACCCAAGGCGAGTCGATCTGTCCTACCAGTAGAAGAAAAAGATCTAGCTCCAAGAGACTTCCTAGAAGAAGTTGTAAGTTTGTTGTACGTGTTGAACGAACATTGTAGAGCCATTCCCTTACCAGGTGAGAAGATGGGTTTAATGAACCTACTGTCCCATCATATTCCACTTGAACCTGGTACCAGACTTACTTACATACCTGCACACAGAATGCCTCATTCACAAGTTGCTGTCACAGAAGAGTTGTCAACCAGATGCTTGATGACAATGTCATTGCACATAGTAATTCACCCTGGAATGCGCCAGTGATTCTAGTACCCAAGAAGGACGGTACAGCCTCTCCTCACTTAGTGACATACTCATTTACCGACAACTCAGACTTACGACAGGCTCTCTGACCAGTATTCATACCTAAATGATGTATATTAGAGCTGATTTCCTCTATTATGTTTTTTACAATATACAGTGGAACCTCTACTTGCGAGTTTAATCCGTTCCATGACCTTGCTCGCAACTAGATTTGCTCATTTGCAGAGTCAATTTTCCTCATTTAAATTAATTGAAATGCAATTAATCCATTCCAGTGGAATTTTGTACTTCAATAATTTCGCTAATATCAACTCTACGGCTTATTTATCAATCTCACTTCATCTAATATGACATAATAAACAATATAAATAACATACAAACCTGATATATACTACTCTAAAATGAATAAAATATGTCATTCACGTGGTGGTATGGGCGGTGTCGGCGGTGGACGAGTTTGTCTGGAGACCGGGCAAAATACTTCATGAATAATTTCGCTAATATCATCTATATGGCTTATTTATATATCACAGTTCATCTAATATGACATAAAAAACAATAAAAGTAACATAGAAACGTGATATATACGCTAGAATGAATAAAATATATCATTATGTAACAGGTGGAAGCAGCCACAACCGCTCCCTCTTTGTTGTGGTAAACACTGCCATCTAGTGACGGCATTTTGAAGCCGTCTATTATAATTGTTATTATACATTTTTTTTTTCAACAAACCGGCCGTATCCCACCAAGGCAGGGTGGCCCAAAAAGAAAAACAAAAGTTTCTCTTTTTAAATTTAGTAATTTATACGGGAGAAGGGGTTACTAGCCCCTTGCTCCCGGCATTTTAGTCGCCTCTTACAACACACATGGCTTACAGAGGAAGAATTCTGTTCCACTTCCCCATGGAGATAAGAGGAAATAAACAAGAACTAGAACTAGAAAGAAAATAGAAGAAAACCCAGAGGGATGTGTGTACAGTGGACCCCCGCTTAACGATCACCTCCAAATGCGACCAATTATGTAAGTGTATTTATGTAAGTGCGTTTGTACGTGTATGTTTGGGGGTCTGAAATGGACTAATCTACTTCACAATATTCCTTATGGGAAAAAATTCGGTCAGTACTGGCACCTGAACATACTACTGGAATGAAAAAAGTTCGTTAACCGGGGGTCCACTGTATATATATATATGCTTGTACATGTATGTGTAGTGTGACCTAAGTGTAAGTAGAAGTAGCAAGACGTACCTGAAATCTTGCATGTTTATGAGACAGAAAAATGGACACCAGCAATCCTACCATCATGTAAAACAATTACAGGTTTTCGTTTTACACTCACTTGGCAGGACGGTAGTACCTCCCTGGGCGGTTGCTGTCTACCAACCTACTACCTAGAATTATATTATTATTATTATTATTATTATTATTATTATTATTATTGTATTATACAGGTCTCCCTCAACATTCGTGTTTTCAACTTTCGTGGGCTTCACACATTCGCGAATTCCTAACCACCAAATCATATTTATGTTGAGGACAATGATAGAGGCATAATTCCCTACAAAACTCTGTAAATATGAAGAAACAGTCTCAGTTGCCCATCACAATGTTCTTCACAAGTCTGCCACAACAGTCCCCATCCCTTTACCCGAGGTCCTATCTAGGCTAAAACTTTGGGTAGTTTCAAATTTAGGTTGGATAAATACATGAGTGAGAGGGGTTGGATTTGAGTGGGACTTGCACGTGAGTAAATAGAATTATCAAAGCTTATTGCTTGGGTAGCATTGAAAATTGAGCTGGGAAAATATTCTGTTAGTGTGATAGATTTTGAGGGACCTGCCCAGCAAGGGCCAACAGGCTTACTGAATATCAAAATGGTATATAATACCGACAGGTTGGTAGGTAAGACACATGGGCAACAGTTAGGCAACTTTATTCCGAAACGTTTCGCCTACACAGTAGGCTTCTTCAGTTGAGTACACAAAATAAGCAGGAGCAGTAGGGATGTGAACATGATGTAATTAGTCCAACACCCTTTAAGTCGTGCAAGAAAGGTATAAAATACCGACAATGTGAAAGTTAAGACACATGTGCAACATCTGGATATCTTTATTGTAGACGTTTTGCCATCCAGTGGCTTTATCAATACAGATTCTAGAACATAATAGAAGACAGTAGAACTATATACAAAAGATGAGGTAATCAGTCCCTCAGCCTTGGAGTTAGTGTTCACAGCATCGTGGTGGAGGAGAATCTGGAGCAAAGGCAAGAAGACTGGTGGTTATATAGGCGTCAGTGGATAAGGACGTGTAGGAGACGAGGGCATAGCCACTTTCTTCACGGCTGCTACAAGTAACCCATCCATTTGGGTAGGACCTACTTCCACTGGGGAATCCCGCCTACCAGTGACTATGCCCTCGTCTGCTACACGTCCTTATCCACTGACGCCTATATAACTGCCAGTCTTCTTGCCTTTGCTCCAGATTCTTCTCCACCACGATGCTGTGAACACTAACTCCAAGGCTGAGGGACTGATTACCTCATCTTTTGTATATAGTTCTACTGTCTTCTATTATGTTCTAGAATCTGTATTGATAAAGCCACTGGATGGCAAAACGTCTACAATAAAGATATCCAGATGTTGCACATGTGTCTTAACTTTCACACCCTTTAAGTCGTAGATTTGAGGTTGTCAGTCCCTCAGCTTGGAGTAGAGTTCTCTTCCATAGTCTGAAACAATCTGAAGAAATAAGCGAGTGTTAAGACTTACACTGTCGGAAGGAGAGGTGCAGACTGGTAGAAGAGGTCACGTCCCTCTCAGATCAAACGATTCTCACATGAAAAAGTTGTCTAAGGTGTTTTCTCTTCTGTACCAAGATGCCTTTGTGTTGCAGTGTCTGACAGAGTGAATATCAAAATGGTATACAATACCGACATGTTGGTAGAACATAAGAACATAAGAATAGAGGAACACTGCAGAAAGCCTACTGGCCCATACAAGACAGGTCCTTGTCTTAAGTAAGACACATGGGCAACAGTTTATCTGGAGAGAGTTTATCTGGAGAGAGTTCCGGGGGTCAACGCCCCCGCGGCCCGGTCTGTGACCAGGCCTCCTTAGGTCAGTGTCCCAGGATGCGACCCACACCAGTCCACTAACACCCAGGTACCCATTTTACTGATGGGGAACATAGACAACAGGTGGAAAGAAACACGTCCAATGTTTCTACTCTGGCTGGGAATCGAACCCAGACCCTCGCCATGTGAAGCGAGAGCGTTAGCCACCAGGCCACCAGAGCCCCCAGTTAGGCAACATTATTTCGAAACGTTTCACCTAACTGCCAACCTGTTGGTATTACAGTGGTCCCTCGTTTTTCGTAATTAATCCGTTCCTGGAGGAGCTACTATAAACGAAATTTACGATTTGCGAATCAATTTTCCCCATAAGAAATAATGTAAATACAATTAATCCGTTTCTGACACTCAGAAGTATTAAAACAAAAAAATTTTTTACATGAAATATACATGTAGTACATAAACAATACAATGGGAAATGATGAATGAAACATTAACAGCATAACACTTACCTTTATTGGAGATTCTTCTTAGTGTATGGGAGACTGGAGGAGGAGAGAGATTGGATTGTTTACAGTTTGGAAGGGGAATCCCCTTCCAGCAACACCTCAGGTACCAATTGCTTCTCTTCTCTGTTTCTTAATGCCACTAGGACCACCTTGAGAGTCACTCTAGTCCTGTCTCGCAAAGTAATTGTGGAGAGAGCTCTGTTTCTGGCGTCTCTTTAACACTTCCCTAAAATGGTACAAGACTTTGTCACTGTACATATTTCTCACCTTCTTTACCACAGGCTTGGCACTAGGAGCTTTCTTTTGAGCCATGGTAGCTTATTTAGTACTTGCAAGCACTAAAATGAGTGGAATATTATGAAATATTTCGTAGGAGCACTTGAGGGGACCTTCACTCACTGGTAAACAATGCCAGACTGGCTGGGTAGGGAGGCCTCCCTGGCTCACACCGTGCGTAAGCGTCCTGGACGAACTACTATTCGCGAGTCAACCTATAAAAAGCGAGTCCATGTTTATACGAAAATACCCCTATGATTGGCGAAATTTATGATTGCCGAGAACTACGAAAAGCGAGGGACCACTGTATATACTATTTTGTTATTCACTCTCAGACACTGCAACACAAAGGCATCTTGGTACAGAAGAGAAGACACCTGGGACAACTTTTTCAAGTGAGAATCGTTTGATCTAAGAGGTACATGACCTCTCAGTGACTACATTCTCTCTTCTACCAACCTGCGCCTCTCCTTCCGACAGTATAAGTCTCGCTTATTTCTTCAGATTGTTTCAGACTATGGAACAGAACTCTACTCCAGGCTGAGAGACTGACTACCTCAAATCTACGACTTAAAGGGTGGACTGATTACATCGTCTTCACATCTCTACTGCTCCTGCCTATTTTCTGTACTCGACTGAAAAAGCCTACTGTGTAGGCGAAACGTTTTGGAATAAAGCTGCCTAACTGTTGCCCATGTGGCAGTGGTGACCTGTGTAGATGAATGGTTCACAGAACCGACACGTTGATAAATTAGACACATGTGCAACTCTTGGGTATCTTTATTAAGGAAACATTTCGCCACACAGTGGCTTCATTAGTCCATACAAAGGAGAATCTTGAAGAACAGGAGGAGAATGAGGTAATCAGTCCCTCAACCTTGAGTCGATGTGGTCAGTCCATAAATCTTGAATAAAATACAGCATACGTGCGGAGAAGGGGCTTATAAACCGTAGGCAGGAGAGGTGCAGCAGTCATAGGTGGTGTCACATTTGTTCAATGTGGAAGTAGGTCGTGCACAAGAATTAGGCAAGCGTAGAATTCCCAAGTATTAAGATCCCAAGAAGTTGCAGTGTCTGACAGGATTGTAGATGAATGGTTCACAGAACCGACACGTTGATAAATTAGACACAAGAACAAGAACTAGAAAGAAAATAGAAGAAAACCCAGAGGGGTGTGTATATATATGCTTGTACATGTATGTGTAGTGTGACCTAAGTGTAAGTAGAAGTAGCAAGATGTACCTGAAATCTTCCATGTTTATGAGACAGAAAAAAGGACACCAGCAATCCTACCATCATGTAAAACAATTACAGGCCTTTGTTTTACACTCACTTGGCAGGACGGTAGTACCTCCCTGGGCGGCTCCTGTCTACCAACCTACTACCTATAATAATAATTACAAAAATAATTATAATAATAATTATAATAATTTTAAGTAGTAGGTTGGTAAACAGCAACCGCCCAGGGAGGTACTACCGTCGTAACAAGTGAGTGTAAAACAAAAGCCTGTAATTGTTTTACATGATGGTAGGATTGCTGGTGTCCTTTTTTCTGTCTCATAAACATGCAAGATTTCAGGTACATCTTGCTACTTCTACTTACACTTAGGTCACACTACACATACATATCTTTCTTTCTTTCAACACACCAGCCGTATCCCACCGAGGTGGGGTGGCCCAAAAGGAAAAACGAAAGTTTCTCCTTTTACATTTAGTAATATATACAGGAGAAGGGGTTACTAGCCCCTTGCTCCTGGCATTTTAGTCGCCTCTTACAACACGCATGGCTTACGGAGGAAGAATTCTGTTCCACTTCCCCATGGAGATAAGAGGAAATAAACAAGAACAAGAACTAGAAAGAAAATAGAAGAAAACTCAAAGGGGTGTGTATATATATGCTTGTACATGTATGTGTAGTGTGACCTAAGTGTAAGTAGAAGTAGCAAGACGTACCTGAAATCTTGCATGTTTATGAGACAGAAAAAAGGACTCCAGCAATCCTACCATCATGTAAAACGATTACAGGCTTTCATTTTACACTCACTTGGCAGGACGGTAGCACCTCCCTGGGCGGTTGCTGTCTACCAGCCTACTACCTAGGACACATACATATACAAGCATATATATATACACACCCCTCTTGGTTTTCTGCTATTTTCTTTCTAGTTCTTGTTCTTGTTTATTTCCTCTTATCTCCATGGGGAAGTGGAACAGAATTCTTCTTCCATAAGCCATGCGTGTTGTAAGAGGCGACTAAAATGCCGGGAGCAAGGGGCTAGTAACCCCTTCTCCCGTATAAATTACTAAATTTAAAAAGAGAAACTTTCAGTTTTTCTTTCTGGGCCACCCTGCCTTGGTGGGATACGGCTGGTTTGTTGAAAAAAAAAAAATTATAATAATAATAATACAGCCTCTCCTCACTTAACGACGGAGTTACATTCCTAAGACCACATCGGTAAATGAATTCGTCGCTAAGCAAGGAGCATACTATAGTGGTAGTGGGTTTGTGTCATCCATCTCTGATATTGTTTTAATGTCACCTTCGCAGCATTTACAACATTTCTGGTATATTTTTAAATGTTTATACAGTAGTGTACTGTATATTGTAATAAACAGAATAGAGGAAATCAGCCCTAATATACATTATTTATGTATGCATACTGGTCAAAGAGCCAGTATGTCGTTAAGTGAGGAGAGGCTGTAATATTATTATTATTAATAATATCTTTATTTCTACAAGTACATGTACAAGGTATATAGACTATAGTTGACATCAATGACATACTACTATATAGAAAGCTGTTTGTTATGCAGAGCATTTCAGGTAAATGAGATCACTTTTGTCCCAGGATGTGACCCACACCAGTTGACTAACACCCAGGTACCCATTTTACTGATGGGTGAACATGGACAACCGGTGTAAGAAAATACACCAAATATTTCCAACCTATGCAGGGAATAGAACCCAGAGACACTGCAGACCTGGAGAGCATACAAAGAACTTTCATGGCACACGTACATACGTTAAGGCACCTAAATTACTGGGGACAGTTGAAGGTCCTCGATCTGTATTCCCTGGAATGCAGGTGAGAGAGATACATGATAATATACACTTGGAAGGTCCTGGAGGGATTGGTACCAAACCTGCACACGAAAATCACTCCCTATGCAAGCAAAAGACTTGGCAGAAGATGCAACATTCCCCTGATAAAAAGCAGGGGCGTCACGAGTACACCGAGAGACAACACAATAAGTGTCAGGGGCCCAAGACTGTTCAACTGCCTCCCAGCATACATAAGGGGTATTACCAATAGACCCCTGGCTGTCTTCAAGAAGGCACTGGACAGGCACGTAAAGTCAGTAGCTCACCAACTGGGCTGTGGTTCATACATCAGTTTGTGTGTGGCCAGCAGTAACAGTCTGATTGATCAGACCCTGATCCATCATGAGGCCTGGTTTCAGACTGAACCATGTGGGTGTTGACCCCTGAAACCTTCTCCAGGTAAACTCCAGGACCCTCATTGTGCGAAACGAGAGATTTTGCCACGAGGCCATGGGCCACTATGGTCTAGTGGTACCAAGATTCCAGTGATATAAACCAAGTCTTCCAGTGAACCACTGATATAAACAAAGTCTTCCAGTGGGCCTCAGAAAGCAACATGATGTTCAATGAGGACAAATTTCAGTTACTCTAATATGGAAAACTTGAGGAAATAACAGCTAGACTGGAGTACACTACAATTTCTAACTATACAATAGAGCAAAAAACTAATGTGAAGGACCTGGGAGTGTTAATGTCAGAGGATCTCACCTTTAAGGATTACAACAATGTTACTATCACAACTGCTAGGAAAATGATAGGATGGATAATAAAAACCTTCAAAACAAGGGACGTTAAGCCAATGATGATCAATGATCCTCTTTCTAGGCCAGAGTATTGCTGTACACTAAGTCACTTTCATGGCAGGCAAAACTGCCAACCTGGAGAATATACAGAGAACCTTTACTGCACATATAAATACAGTCAAGCACCTCAATGATTCATAACATCTGAAGTCCCTTGACCGTGTACTCCTTGGAACGTAGGCAAGAAAGATTCATTGTAATTTACACCAGGAAAATCTTAAATGGGAAGAGTCCCCTAACTGCGCACAAAAATCACTCCCTACGAAAGTAAAAATTCAGCAGATGGTACAACATCCCCCCAATAAAAGGCAAGGGTGCCATGAGTACACTAGGATACAACACAATAAGTGTCAGGGGCCCAAGACTGTTCAACTGCCTCCCACCATACATAAGGGTGATTACCAACAGGCCCCTGGCTGTCTTCAAGAAGGTGCTGGACAGGCACCTTAAGTCATTACCTGACTAGACAGGCTGTGGTTCCTATGTTGGACTGTGTGCAGCCAACAGCCTGGTTGATCAGACCCTGATCCACTGTGAAGCCTGGTCAAGATTACTCCGTGGAGGTGCTGACTCACAGAACGACCTCCAGGTAGATTTACACCATCTCTCAACCCACCACACCATCCCTCAACCCACCTAGGCCATCCTTCAACCCACTTACACCAATCTTGACCATCCTATGTCACTCTTCAACCCACTTTCACCACCCCTTGACCCACCTACACCACCCCACAACCCACCTATACCACCCCATCGACCCACCTATACCATCCCATGACCCAGGTACACCATCTCCTGACCTACCTACACCACCCTTGACCTAGGTACACCATCACTCAACACACCTTCACCACCCTTTGACCCATCTACACCACCCCTCGACCCACCTACACCACCCCTCGACCCACCTATACAACACTGGCCTCTTGTGGTGAGTGTTCTTGGTCGAGACCATGTAGATGCGGTCGAGGTTGGAGTATGGATGGAAGGGCGTTTTGCTGAGCGCCTGAAGTAGGTTCGGCCGATATGCCCCATCCACCATCCACAGTGAACCCTTGCCCAGGTTCTGAAAGCAAGAAATGCATATTAAAAAAGAAGTACTGAACCCTCATTCAGGTTTTGAAAACAAGAAGCGAACATTAAACAAGAAGAAGTAAAGTATCCTTAGCCAGGTTCTGAAAACAAGAAGTTTAACAACATAAATATTCTATGGTTCAATGGTCTTTCATAGACCCATCTGCTGACAATACCACTTATATGTTTCACTGTAAACACCTGGTCCACACACCCCCTACCCTTCCTGAAGCCTCCTTGTTCATCTGCTATCCTACTCTCCATCTTACTCTTAATTCTTTCAGTAATAACTCTACCATACACTTTATCAGGTATACTCAACAGGCCTTTTTTTTTTCAACAAGTTGGCCGTCTCCCACCGAGGCAGGGTGACCCAAAAAGAAAGAAAATCCCAAAAGAAAATACTTTCAACATCATTCAACACTTTCACCTCACTCACACATAATCACTGTTTTTGCAGAGGTGCTCAGAATACAACAGTTTAGAAGTACAGTGGACCCCCACCTTACGATCAGCTCCCAACTCGAACAATTATGTAAATGTATTTTTTAAGTGCTTTTGTACGAGTATTTTTCGGGGTCTGAAACAGACTAATCTAATTTACAATATTCCTTATGGGAACAAATTCGTTCGGTAACGGCACCCGAACAGACTTCTGGAACGAATTAATATCGTAAGTCGGGGGTCCACTGTATATATAAAAAATACACAATATATCCCTCCAAACTGCTTATTCCCCTATAATTCTTAAGCTCTCTTTTTTCCTTTATACAAAGGAACTATGCTGCTCTCTGCCAATCCTTAGGTACCTTACCCATTTATTTTATTATTACTACAGTAGACCATCATTTAACATGGCTTTGTTTGGCACGTTTTAGTTATAGTTATGAAGAATTGCGCCATATTTTTGTATAACACTTTGTAAAATTAACTTAACACAGTTCAGTTTGAGGGAGAGGAAAAAAGTTATGAAAAAACTAGTTGCATCAATGGACTCTGACTCCATCCTGGCAGTACCAAGATTCTGGAATAAATTTAACATTGCAGATGCTATCAGCTATGCTAGAAGTGAAGTGCCCCGATCAACATTAAATGCAGACTGGGGAAAGTTATGGCCTTCTGTAGTTAATTCTTTTACTGACTTTCCCTTGCTTGAGAGTCAGGTTCAGGAAATTGTTCGGCTGGCAAGGAAAGTACAAGGTGATGATTTTGAAGATATGAATGAAGATGTGAAGGACTTCTTTGATGATGATGATGAAGACAGGAGTCCAGAGGAAATGCTAGCAGAGCTCGACGCACAGATACAAGGGAGCCACATAACAGAAGAAGATGAAGAAGAACCTGAAGAAAAACAGTTAACATTGCAGCAGTTACGTGAGCAGTTCCATATTATTATTAAGGTTGCAGACTTTTTCACTGAAGAGGACCCTGACAAATCTAGAAGCAGTGCTTTGAAATGGGGTCTAGACCAGCTGATGATGCCTTACTGTCAGCTGTACAATGTGCTTCAGGGAAAAAAAAACACGAGATCCATTACAGAATTTATGCACACTCCAATACAACCATCGACTTTAGTACCAGAACCTAAATTATCCACTTCTGCCGACAACCAACAACCATCTACCTGAGCCCAGTAGGGCCACCACACGATGCAATCATCCACAAACACCACAAACACAATCCACAATTTAAGGTAAGAAATACAGTGGATCCCCGCATAACGCTATTAATTCGTTCCTGAGAGCTCAATGTTATGCGAAATTATCGTTATGCGAATTAATTTTCCCCATAAGAAATAATGGAAATCAAATTAATCCGTGCAAGACACCCAAAAGTATGAAAAAAAAAAAAAATTTACCACATGAAATATTAATTTTAATACACACAAACTTAAGGAAACATGCACAGTTACATGACACTTACCTTTATTGAAGATGTGGTGATGATTGATGGGATTGGAGGAGGTTTTAGTGTTTAGAAGGGGAATTCCCTTCCATTAGGACTTGAGGTGTCAAGTCCTTTTCCAGGGTTGCTTCCCTTCTTCTTTTAATGCCACTAGGACCAGCTTCAGAGTCACTGGACTTCTGTTGCACAACATATCTGTCCATAGTGGCCTGTACCTCTCGTTCCTTTATGACTTTCCTAAAGTGTTTCACAACATTGTCAGTGTAATAGTCACCAGCACGGCTTGCAATAGCTGTCTGAGGGTGATTTTCATCCATGAAGGTTTGCACTTTCAGCCACATTGCACAGATTTCCTTAATCTTTGAAGTAGGCAACTTCTTCAATTTCTCTCTCCCCTCCTCTGAACTAGTTTCCTCAGGTCTGGCCTCTTGCTGTTGAAGTTGATCTAGCAGCTCATCAGTGGTTAGTTCTTCATTGTCCTCCTCCACCAACTCTTCCACATCCTCCCCACTAACCTCCAACCCCAAGGACTTCCCCAATGCTACAATGAATTCCTCAACTGGCATAGGATTCTCAGGGTTAGCCTCAAATCTTTCAGAATCCCTTTGGTCTACACATTCTGGCCACAGTTTCTTCCAAGTAGAGTTCAGGGTCCTCTTAGTCACTCCCTCCCAAGCCTTACCTATAAGGTTTACACAATTGAGGATATTAAAGTGCTCTCTCCAAAACTCTCTTACAGTCAATTGAGTTTCTGAGGTCACTACAAAGCACCTTTCAAACATAGCTTTTGTGTACAGTTTTTTGAAGTTTGCAATAACCTGCTGGTCCATGGGCTGCAGGAGAGGAGTGGTATTAGGAGGCAAAAACTTCACCTTAATGAAACTCATGTCCCCACAAAGTCGCTCTGCCAAGTCTGAAGGATGACCAGGGGCATTGTCTAACACCAGGAGGCACTTAAGGTCTAATTTCTTTACAGTTAGGTAATTTTTCACAGTGGGGCAAATGCTTGGTGTAACCAGTCATAGAAAAAGTCCCTAGTGACCCATGCCTTATTGTTTGCCCTCCACAGCACACACAAATTAGCCTTGAGGATATTCTTTTGCCTGAACGCTCTGGGAGTTTCAGAGTGATACATTAATAAAGGCTTCACTTTGCAATCACCACTAGCATTGGCACACATCAGAAGAGTAAGCCTGTCTTTCATAGGCTTATGTCCTGGGAGTGCCTTTTCCTTCTCAGTAATGTAGGTCCTGCTTGGCATTTTCTTCCAAAACAGGCCTGTTTCATCACAATTAAACACTTGTTCAGGTTTCAGTCCTTCACTGTCTATGTACAGTGGACCCCCGCATAGCGACTTTAATCCGTGCAAGAGGGCTGATTGTTATGCGAAATGATCGGTATGCGAATGAATTTTCCCCATAAGAAATAATGGAAATCAAATTAATCTGTGCAAGACACCCAAAAGTATGAAAAAAAAAAAATTTTACCACATGAAATGTTAATTTTAATACACACAAACTGAAAAAGGCATGCACAATTACATGACACTTACTTTTATTGAAGATCTGGTGATGATTGATGGGACTGGAGGAGGGGAGGGAGAGTGTTAGTGTTTAGAAGGGGAATCCCCTTCCATTAAGACTTGAGGTGTCGAGTCCTTTTCTGGGGTTACTTCCCTTCTTCTTTTAATGCCACTAGGACCAGCTTCAGAGTCACTGGACTTCTTTCGCACAACATATCTGTCCATAGTGGCCTGTACCTCTCGTTCCTTTATGACTTCCCTAAAGTGTTTCACAACATTGTCAGTGTAATAGTCACCAGCACGGCTTGCAATAGCTGTCTGAGGGTGATTTTCATCCATGAAGGTTTGCACTTCAAGCCACTTTGCACAGATTTCCTTAATCTTTGTAGTAGGCAATTTCTTCAATTTCTCTCTCCCCTCCTCTGAACCAGTTTCCTCAGGTCTGGCCTCTTGCTGTTGAAGTTGATCTATCAGCTCATCAGTGGTTAGTTCTTCATTGTCCTACTCCACCAACTCTTCCAAATCATCCCCACTAACCTCCAACCCCAAGGACTTTTCCCAATGCCACAATGGATTCCTCAACTGGCATAATCCTCTCAGGGTTAGCCTCAAACCCTTCAAAATCCCTTTTGTCTACACATTCTGGCCACAGTTTCTTCCAAGCAGAGTTCAAGGTCTTCTTAGTCACTCCCTCCCAAGCCTTACCTATAAGGTTTACACAATTGAGGATATTAAAGTGCTCTCTCCAAAACTCTCTTAGAGTCAGTTGAGTTTCTGAGGTCATTACAAAGCACCTTTCAAACAGAGCTTTTGTGTACAGTTTTTTGAAGTTTGCAATAACCTGCTGGTCCATGGGCTGCAGGAGAGGAGTGGTATTAGGAGGCAAAAACTTCACCTTAATGAATTTCATGTCCCCATAAAGTCGCTCTGCCACGTCTGTAGGATGACCAGGGGCATTGTCTAACACCAGGAGGCACTTAAGTTCTAATTCCTTTTCAGTTAGGTAATCTTTCACATTGGGGGCAAATGCATGGTGTAACTAGTCATAGAAAAAGTCCCTAGTGACCCATGCCTTATTACTGTTTGCCCTCCACAGCACACACAAATTCTCCTTGAGGACATTCTTTTGCCTGAACGGTCTGGGAGTTTCAGAGTGATACACTAATAAAGGCTTCACTTTGCAATCACCAGTAGCATTGGAACACATCAACAAAGTAAGCCTGTCTTTCATAGGCTTATGTCCTGGGAGTGCCTTTTCCTCCTCAGTAATGTAGGTCCTGCTTGGCATTTTCTTCCAAAACAGGCCTGTTCATCACAATTAAAAAACTTGTTCAGGTTTCAGTCCTTCACTGTCTATGTACTCCTTGAATTCCTGCACATATTTTTCAGCTGCTTTGTGGTCCGAACTGGCAGCCTCACCATGCCTTATCACACTATGTATGCCACTACGCTTCTTAAATCTCTCAAACCAACCTTTGCTGGCCTTAAATTCACTCACATCATCACTAGTTGCAGGCATTTTTTTAATTAAATCCTCATGCAACTTCCTAGCCTTTTCGCTTATGATCGCTTGAGAGACGCTATCTCCTGCTAGCTGTTTTTCATTT